TACATATAAACTGAATATGCTGAATAAGTTGAAGGTTCTTCAAATTTGAAGAAATCAAATGCATTTCATAGAATACACACAAATTAGTAATCCTAAACCTACACATTCTCTAACTAAGATTTCTAGGGCCTATTCTTTCTATATTTCATGTCAATTTTACCTTGTAGACACTCAATAACATGAGAAAGTTCATCAAGGACCATTTCTAGTTTTTTGTATACAAATTCCTAAAATTTCCCTTATGAATAGTGCAATCCTATCTCTCATTTCAGTTTGGCTAACGAATTAACTACACAACTCTTTTCCTCCCCTTAATTTGTGGATTATAAGTTTCTCATAACTTAGTGAATTTTCTTACAATGCAAACACGAATTAGCTGAACGATCATCGACCAATCTAAAGTTCAGCCGATAAAACTTGGAAGTAAGCAATAAAACCCTGATTATCATATTTTAAACTGAGATCCAACAAATTACTAACATAGAAACCTTAATTATCAAAATAGATCCACTAAGTCAGTGCAAGCAGTAGTAAGAAACATAATGTGAAGAAGAAAACGCATAATACAGAGATCTAATCTACATATAGAGGATAATGCCTACCTAGGGTTATGGAAAGGACCGACTTTGTTGGCATAAATTGGGACCTCATCACCAGATTTGTATTTTTGATATGAGGCATCCGATTGAACTTCTTCAATGCTAAAAGCCACTAGTATTGCCACTAGCAAAACCGTACCACCAACATTTTCTTCCACATCTTAGACGTTTGATACAATGGACACCAGTAGATGCAATATTTTACATGTATGTCAACATATATCATGTACTTTATATACTCCGGAAATGTTTGTTGAAGGGGGTTATCGTGTACTTTTCGGAAAATTGAATTTTACATAAATGTTCCCTCATGTTTTGTTTCTATACTTTAATGACCAGCATCTTTAATCATGCATTTTAATAAATCCCATGCATTCTTTCATAAATAACTTCATAGTTTTTTGGTATGAATTGCAATAAGATGGATCATTTTAAAAAGAAACTTTATTTACAAAATGAATTTGGTATTTTCATCAAACGACATAATAATAATTAAAAGTGTATTTTTGTAGATTTTAAATCCAATCTGTTTTTAATGTGGAAATATGTTAAATGGCAACAAACTATCATTTTTCTTTAAATGTGTAGAATATTTTATTTTTTATTTATAATAGGTTCAACTTCTATTTTTCTACCAATCTAAGAAAATATATATCATAATAACAAGTTGGACCATTTAGCAATCAAGTTTTATATGAATTGTCAAAAAAAATGAAGTCTGAGAATTATGGGTGAAGAAGTGATTCATCTTGAAGACTTGATGTACGATTGTCAAGTAGTTTAATGACTACATGTAACATCCCAAGATTTGTCGTTTGTATTCACTGGGGATGGAAGGGTAAAGCCATGAAGAGCCTAAGGGCTAAATTGTAATTTTGGGACCAGAAGGAGTATGTTGGGCGTACACTTGTGTACGTTGGGCGTACTCATATCTGAAGGAAACCCTAATATCTCAGGTTAAGGGCTATATAAACATCCTTATGACTCATTTTCTCTCCTCCTTCTCAGTCTCCATCTTCAAGAAACATCCCCAAACCCTAGTTCTTATGTGTGAGAGTCAGTTGGTGGGTATTTTGAGCTATTGAAGGTGAAGCCATTGCAACAAATAGTTGAAGAAGGAGATTGGCTTGTAGATCTAAAGTTTTGTTGTGCCCTAGAAGCTCCAGGAGGTAAAAAGCTTCAAACTTTATGCTTGTAGGTCATTGATCTAGCCTTTCTAGCATTATGGAACCATTTCTTATCCCAAATACCCCCAATATGGTGCATGATGCATTTTGGACGAGATAAGTTGTCCTTTCTAGACCTTGAAGAGGTCTCAAGTGATAAAATGAGGTCCCAATGGCTTAAGATATCCCATGCATGGTGTAGAAGAGTCTTAATGGATTAAGAGCTTTCTAGACATCCAAAGTGATAAATTTCGAGACTTTATGAGTCCTAGGCACATTTGGTCACTGGATCTGGAGTTTGAGCTTAAGTGCTTAAGTCATTAAGCACTTATTAGGGTTTTGGTGAAACCCTGCGTACGCCCACCGTAAGGTTCTGTACGACCAGTGTACTAAGTCAATGATCCCGTTTTCCAGTTAATGTGATACTCGTGTATGCCCCGTGTAGCCTTGGGATACGCCCAGCGTACGCCTTCTGTGGACTTTGGTGATTTTGGGCTTTGGGTTTGGGCTAGTTGGATTTGGGCCTTTGCTGGACTTTATGAATATTATGTTTTGGATCAATGGATCATTATGTTAAGCACAATTAGGAATTTGGGCCCAATTTAGTAAATTGGTCCAATAATGGGATTTGCGTAAGGACTTTCAAGGTTATGGTATTGGCATTGGGCGTTGGCCCAATTAAAAGAATCGACATGATACTTGATACATAAATACATTTAAAAATAAAATTATATATATTATTAAAAATATAAACAGGTTGGCAGGTCAACACGTTTATTTTTTGAGAAACTCATATATAACCCGTTTAATAAACGGCCGGGTTGGCGAGTTGGCTGATTGGCGGGTTGAAAAATTCAACCCAAACCCAATTATTTTGTGTCGTGCCGCGGGTCGTGACGAGAATTGTCATCCCTACTAACAATTGGATCCAGCTTAGGTCTCCTTCTTTTTTTAGGGTTTGGTTGTGGGGCAACTGTTGGATTTTTACATGAAACCTTGTTGACCCTTATGTTGGCAATTTGTACATTGGATTATTCTAGACCTTCCCATATGGTAGTACTTGTCATTATTTTCAGAAATATGCATTCTTCTCTTGATACTTGATCTACTTGGCATCCTTCTAGCTAGGGGGTGGTTTGGTATATGGAGTAGCTACCCATTACTTACATTCACATGTTGCAAATTCCTAAAGTAAGTATCTTTGCACCTCTCCTTACTAAACCAAATGCTAATAAACTTAGTCAGATCTTTATGAGTGTAATAGATATTAGTTTGTGCATGAACACAAGGTATCCACAGATGACCCACGACTTACATGAACATGCATGTAACCCCAAATCCACACAATAGGGTTCATAGCCATTCCTAGTTCCTAATCCATCCTAGGGGAAATAATCCAATTCCTGCAAATTAGTATGTAAACAACTTTAGTAAGATAAACTTTTCGGTCTTTAAAAGGAAAAGGGATAAAAGTACATACCTCATATCTTCACCAAAATTTCTCATCTCTTTAATATCAGTAGGACATACATCGCCTTCTCATCTACCAACCTTTTAAAGCATTCTAAAAAACTTATCCATCATGTATAATTTGATTTCTTCAAGCATAGTTATGAGTGGTTTCTTCATGGCCTCCAAGATGATGAAATTGAACATTCAACAATGTCATCTTCCACTGCCTCACAAGCTATTCCACTCCCAAAATAAGTCATGCACAATGTAATGGGGTGCCTTTAATTCAAATGTTCATAAGCAATTCGGTATAACTTCCTTGAAATTGGAATATATGTGTTTAGTACATTGCATGTGCTCCACATAAAGAAGGATATCATTTGTTTATTCAAGCAGACCCTGTAATTAGGATATACAACATTAAGAAAATATAACCAAATTGCATAAGAAAGTGTAATCAAGTCTTTCAAAATTTGCATATGATACAAAAGAGATTAACACCTAAACCATCTTTGTATTGACGAAAAGGGATAATATCATTTCCTAATTTAAGACTGGTTTTATTTCCTTTTGTTCATTCATTGTAATTGTATTTATACCCCATTGTAATTCTTTGTCAAAGATTAATAAGAATAGGTTTTTACCTCTCATATGGTATCAGCTAATAGATCCAATTTTTTCTCAACCCTACCTACATGGCTACTGAAACAGGACTCTCTATGCTTACAAACAAATTATCATCTTCCAGTTATATCTTATGGAAGAATCAAGTTTATCCACTCCTTTCTCATCAAAAACTTATATCTCACATCGACGGTTCTTCTTCTCCCCCTTCTCAAACCCTCACTGGCTTGAAAAAGACCAAATTGTCATACTTCTTCTTCAATCCTCCTTAACGGTGGAAGCCATGGCCGAAGTCATCGGAGTTCAAACATCTCGAGACCTCTGGACAACTCTCGAACGATTGTAATTCTTTATCAAAGATTAAGAATCGGTTTTTACCTCCCATACTTTGTCCTTAGACTGATGGCCCGTTTCCATGGTGTCGTCTTCAAAATCAGAACCACAATCCTCGTCATTCTCGACCTCCGAATCATAGATGTAAGCATCAGATACTCCACAGAGTGTGTTCAGGACTGTTGCACCCAGAAGGTGGTTTATTTTTGAATTTGTTTTCCTCTCCAACATCTATGTACATGATATTAAATTTCTCATCTTGGTCTGCGCCAACCAAATTATTGCCTCAAGCAACAATGTTTGGCTTCATTACAAGGAAGGAGCTCTATAAAAACACTCTTCAAGCATGGATTGTTTGGGTCCTCACTTAAGCTCTCAATGAAGAAAATGTTGACCGTAAAAACCCTAACTTTAAGAGGGTATGTGTAAATGAAAGGCCATATCAACGGTGGTGTTGGAGATAATATGATTTCCTTACATAAAAAGCCAAAAGCTCTAAACAATACTACTTGAACTAGCTTTTGGAGGAATTAAAACTTCATACACAAAGTCATATCACAATATGAAAAGCAGGTGGAAAAGATGTAGAGGGCTTGTAAATAAGTGAGAACTACTACAAACACTAATTACAAGCTACAGAAGTACAGATTTAAAATGAAAAAGACAAGTATGTATGCCCAAAGCCAAAATTGAGTAGCTACTTTTCAATTTCCTTCCTCTCATCAAACTTTAAAAATATTTAATAAAAAAACAACATAAACTATCAAAACATCCATCAAACATCTAACTTGGACGCTTTGTTCTCATAGCTTTGAGATTTGAGCTTCTATTCACACTTGATTGAGCGGTAAATGTGGCGGACGAAGAACAAGGCAGCACGGAAACCGATCATGCCGAGCATGAGAAAGAAGCCGTAACAAATGCAAGCCATGTAACCGAAGAAGAAGGAGGTCTGCATGAATCCCGACATGTCAGATCTTTCATAGTAGTAATACAAGCAATACCCGTATATGAAAACACCCGTTGACCCTCCACATAGGAAAGACCTGAAAAAAATAAAAATAATTCAAAAATAAATTATATTGAAAAAAGTACGGATTCGAAAGGTAAAAAAAACAAGACATACCTCCACCACCATTCATGGTCCTCAGCAGCAAGTTGGAAGTAAGTCAAAGCAACGGTGATGAAAGCAGTGACAATCAAGAGAATGATGAAAACAATAAATAAGATGCTGTAAATGGTGTAAATCCTGTGGCCCCACACACTGGCAAAGATGTAGTAAAGCTCAATGTAGATAGCACTGAAAGGGAGAAAGCCGGCCATGGCCATTTGAGGGATGGTTTTTCTGTACCATGGGAGAGGTGGAATCTCTCTCGGGTATTTTGTGGTGCGAACAGGAGCTTGGAATTCAGCTTTGCTGTTTTTTCCGGCAATACCCCCGAGAACAAGTAAAGGTGATGTCACCAAACTCCATATCAAAACAATCACTACAATTGTTCCAAAGGGAAGTGCAGCTGTGGCTGTGTATGCGATTGCAACAGTGTTTAGGAAGCAGAAGGTTAGAAAGAGGGGCCCACAGAAGAGGCATCCGGTTAACAGTAGGTTTCTCACCTGTATATCATAATTGAAAAGATCTTATTAGTGTTTTTTTTAAAAATGATGCTGATATCGAATATTATTGATACTAATATGTTTTTATTTTTTATATAGAAAGTGAAATGTTTTTTGATTTGTTATATGAAATAATTAAAGTTGATGATTTCACATGTTTAGACTTTTAGATTTTTTTCACAAACTAGTTAAATGTAGCTTTTTAATTATTGTAGTTTTTAGTTAACAAAACTTTTAGATAACATAAGGGAGAACTCCATAAAAGTCCTTTATGTTTTGGCCTCAAAATCGATTTAGTCCTTGTATGGTTTTTTATTCAATTATGTCCCAAAAACCGGGAATTGTATTCAATTTGACCCTTTTACCCAGTCAACAGGTCATCCAACTTTCAAAAATTACACTTTTGGCCCAGATTTTAAATCTTATTACAAATTTGGTCCAAATTTTACACTTTTGGCCAAGATTTCAAAATTTTGTTACGAGTTCATCCTAAATTTAGTTTTTTACATATTTTTTTTCAAATAAAAATTCGAATATGTTTTTTTTTGTTGGATAATATCATATTTATACAAAAAAAAAACACAATTTTCACACAAAAACATTCTTTTTCTATATATATTTAAAACAAAACATTTTTATATGCAAAATACATATTTACAAAAACATTATTTTATTTTAAATACCTATTTATAAAAACATAGTTATGTGAAAATGCATGAAATACACATATGTAAAATACGTTATTATACCCCTATATACCCTTAAAAACTTTTATAAAATAGGTATTTATTTAAAAAAATTATATACAAAAAAGAAGGTTTTTTATGTGAAAAATAAGTTTTTTTTGTAAAAATATGATTTTATACAACAAACAAAACATATTTGAAATTTTGTTTTGAAAAAAAAAAATGTAAAAAACTTAATTTAGGATGAAATCATAACAAAATTATGAAATCTTGGCCAAAAGAGTAAATTTTTGACCAAATTTGTAATAAAATTTAAAATTTGGGCCAAAAATGTAACTTTTGAAAGTAGGATGACCTGTTGACCGGGTAAAACGGTCAAATTGAATACAATTCCCGGTTTTTGGGACTTAATTGAATAAAAAAAAACATATAATGACTAAATCAATTATGAGGCCAAAACATAAGAACTTTTATGAAGTGCATAAGTTTATGTGTTGCTGATGTGGCAAGTCTTTAGGCGTTTATATGAGGTCAAACATTGTGGATGCTTAATAAAATGTAAAGAGAATATGGAAGCAATAATCCTTATAATTTGTAGAGTAACATTACATTTACATACCCAATTAGTTCCTTCTAGTTGGTGATAGAAGGAGGCTGCAGTGTATCCTGCAATCCCAGAAGTAAGAGCATATATGACAACCAATGCAGTGAACAGAGCTCCTCTATTATATGGATAAAACACACCAACAAGTGCCAATCCAAAGATAAAAAGTGCACTGAATAAAATCAAACACAATTCAGAAACTAATCCATTGAACATGAAAAGTATTAGATAAATAACTCAAGGGCTAAATGCAAGATAACCATTTCTTGCATTTCTCCTTTAATTCAAAAATATTCTACTTACAGAGAAAATAGCTGGGTCCCAGAACCAAGGGCAGCAGCAAACAAAGACTTGTACTTTGGATACCTAAACACATCACCATGAATGTACTTCCACCCTGTCTCCTCTTGATCATCAGCTGCCTCTTCATCATGAGCGTACCTTTTTTCACAAATCAACAATTAACAAAGGGTAAAAAAGTAATTGCACGTAAAATAAATGGATATAATTCCTTAGTCCTTACTTAACAAAGTCGTTCTTCAGGACACGCATAAGAATGGTGGCAAGAAAACCAGTTAACAGAAGAACAGTGACACATGAGTTAATGATTGAAAACCAATGGATTTCCAAATGATGTGGTTGTGAAGAAGATTGAGAGTATTTCTCCATTCTATTCTCAAACGGAATATTTGTTTCTTTCCATCTGACTGTATACATGAATTCCACCTCAACTTCTTTGTCTTCAGTGAGATCCACCACAGCATTAGGATCAGCTTTCGCGTTTATTTCTATGACACGATCTTTATTGTAGTGGATCTCAAAGTGAAGATGCTTAAAAAGGTAATATCTTTCCTCGCTAGGGTCATTTTTGTCTTTTTCAACTTTCCCTAGAAAGCCCCAGAAAGGCAAGTCATCATAGTACATTTGGAAATAATAATCCTTGGCAACAGCACTTCGGAATTTAAATACTTCCCCTTTTGTTAGTGTTTTTCTGCAAACAATTTCTGAGTCTTTTTCAACCATAAATGGAAGCTTATAAGGGGCACTGACTAATCGGTCTCCATTCAGTACTTCACCAAGAGCTTCTGGCTTCTCCTTTAAATGAGCTGCAATCAACATTTGCATCAATGAGGAATTACAGATTCAAGAAATAAAATAATGAAAGGTAATATGTAATAAGATAACAAGTATACACACCTGGTAAACAGAAGGGTAGATCAAAAAAGCGGTATGTTTCACTGTAGAAGAAATCAGACATATAAAATGAGTGTATAAGAAGGCATGTAAGTATATATGCTGTAAGCTATGAGTTTAAGGTTCTTTAAATTCTAAAGAGTATACAAATATGAAAAAACAAAATGCACTTAAGAACATATACAGATTGGAAAACATGAAGTAGGCACTAGGCAACACTTCCTCATTACTGAAAAACCTATCTAGTATCTACATAGAAGAAAACGATAAGTTTTCTAAAGACTTTAGGATTTTTTTTTGTTGAGATTGACTGAATAAGTTACATAATCATCAATACAAAAGGGCTGAAGTGAATTTCTTGTGTTGCTGAGCCACAAGCATGATACTCCCATCTTCTTGTAGTACTTCATAATCTTTTATTAGCCAATATGAATGTTTTTTAAGCCTGATTTAGGCATTATAAATGATTGACATTATAAACTACATAATCTGTTCAAATTCAGGTCTTTATGTTTGGGTTGGAGGCATTAAAGATCTATATACATGTGTATAACAAATTACATGGTGAGGTACAATTAACAACTGGAAACTAATCAGTCTTTTAGACTTTTTAGAGCAAAAAAAGCTCCTTTATTCAGGATGGGGGAGCATTTAAGTGCAAATTTAGCGCTTCCAATCTTTTACCATCATTCATAGACTCATCCAGTTTCAGTTAAACAAATTTCAAATGATCATTTGAAGTTCTGGACTTATAGTCCCACAGACATGAATTGTATCTCAATTTAGGTTTACACTTTATCCATATTAAAAGCTGCACATAATTGGGCAGCTTTCCTTGCAATGCCGACGGGAGTCACAGAGTCGTAGTGATAGGGACCACCACATCCGATCGATACTTACAGCTACAGAAACATAAAACCCTAACTAACATAACTGAAGCTGAGATCCAACAAATAACAGAACAGATCCACTAAACTGTAGCAAAAGCATGAAAACGGAAGAAATGGAGTAGAGAACAAGCATCATGATGCACAAGATCAAACGAATGAAACAGCGATCTAGTCAAAGAATCCATAAGAGATACCTAGGGTTATGGAAGGGGCCGACTTTGTTGGCGTAAATGGGAACTTCCTCTTTTTCTTTGTACTTGTGATCTGAGGCACCTGATCTAACTTCTTGGATGCGAAAAACCAGCAGTAACGCCACCACTAACCACCGGATCACGGCCATTTTCTTCAGCATCTTTGGTGTCTGCTGCAGATAATATGTAAGTAAAATAGATGTAATTCACCTTGTAGATTCCATCGAAGTTTGTTGAGGGCTTTCCGGTCATTTCACCCCAATAGGAAACGATGACTTCTCACGTTTATTGGGTCCCACGATATTATAAAAAAAGAAAATTGGAAAACAAAAAGAGAATGAGCTTAGCAAGTCCTAAAACGGCAAATCGGGCAACATTCACGTTTTAGGGGTATCGATCTTTGTACTAAATGGGTAGAGCTTACGACTCGTCAAAAACCACACCGTAATTAAAATTAACCGTACAAACCGTAACCGATAAACCACAATCGTAATAAAAACCGATGGTGAGGTTTTTTGTTTTTCAAAAACCGCAAATTTGCGATGCAGTGCATTTATTAGTTTACAAAAACCGTAAAAAAACCGGACCGCACCGCACCGCATATATTATATACAATTTTTTATTAATTATTTATATAGTAAATATTAAAAATAAGATAAGTTTTATAGATGAAAAATGGATAAAATACTAGAAGACAAAAGTATTGGTTTTTTTTATATTTAATTTTGAAAAATGATAAAATTAGACAATTTTAAGATATTTATTGTTAATTACTATTGATTTTACGTTTTTAAGATATTAGTTGTTTGTGATTTAAGTTAATTGTCTTATATCTTATGGTTTTTTATCATTACAAGTAATATGTTTGAACTCTTAAAACCGTTTGAGTTATAAATTGTTGTTAAAAACCACACAAAATAACCGCATCAAATTCATGTGGTTAATAACCGTAAAATAAAAAAATAAAAAAATAAAAAAAATAAAATAAAAAAAAAACTCACCGCAAAAATAACCGCATCAAGCAGTTTTGAAAATGGATTAACCGCATTTGCGATTAGTGGTGAGGTTTTGGCTAATAACTGCACTGCGCTCACCCCTAGTAGAACCCGTTTAAATTTAGTAATTTTTAAAGAAAGGATGATGACAACTTTATCTAGCAAAACCTAATACAATAAGGCGACATGAAATTAGTGTTGGGGTAACAAATTTTGACATGTTTATGTACATGGGTTAACACGACACGAAAATTAAACGGGTTAGGTCGGGGTCAAAACTTTCAGCTCGAATATGACTCGTTTAATTATATATCATTTTTTATAGTATATATTATAAACTTGTAATGGGTCAAACTCAAGTATTAAAATTAAAATGAAAATTAGGGATGAGATAAGCTGAATCAAATTACGAAAACAAAAACTCGAAAAGTATAAAAGTGTTCAAACTTTCAAAATAACTTAATTTTACTCCTTACCACCTACCAACTATTTCCATTTTGTCTTATAAACTTAAAACTTATTATGAATTTTATCATACCACCTCCAACTCTAGTGTTTTACTTTTTCTTTTTTCCCCGTCACCTACTTTCCAACTTGTAAAATGTTTCAACATGACATGTATAATTAAGATTCTACAGGCTAAGAGTATGTGATTCCGCCTTAATTCATGTTCTTTGTCTGGTTGTGGATTTAGGGCAGGGTCACTCAGTCGACTGTCTCTTCACTCTTAATTATATACGACTAGGTTACACCAAACCATTATAAAGAGACCTAGTAGGGAACATACTACGAGATTTCATCATTAGTTATCCAAGCACTCGTGTTGTTAGAACCCACTAATCTCGGTATGAAATATTCGCAGTAGTAATAACAAAGATAAAAATGTATATAAAATACACTATCATTCTAAAAAATCATCTCCCTTTCAAGACAACTTAACATCGACTACAATAAGAAGTCCCAACGTTGTCCTTTTATGAGGATTTGCTTGGTCCTCACCATACCGAATTTCATGGGCTACGAAGAGACCCTTTGCCTCACCCGACCAATTAACGAAACCCTTTCAATCTATAATGATAAATCTCTGAATCATCTTTTGCGTCTGGACTCATAAGTACCTATGTAAGATATACCACACCCTTTCCCCACAGTAGCAATAAAAGACAAGAAACAAAAGACATCAAGGGTAACCCATAAATTTACAACCTTCCTGAAGTAATTTCCAGAAGGTCTTTCAGAACATCACCCATGCATCAAGATGAATTCGAACTTAACTTGACTCTTAGAGCCGCCCCCATAGCCAAACCCCAATACCACTTAGCAACAACACAGAGATAGATATTGTCCGATCAATAGAACGACCTAACAAGTAAGGAAACTATCAGACCAAGTCTCTAACCTCAAAAAGCACCCATCCAACTCATAAGGAGGAAAGGTGAATTGCTGTGACATCCCCAAAATCTCGGCCAGAAAAGACCGATTTTCATTTATGCTTTTAAATATTTTCAGAGTAAATCCTTTTGATTTGAAAGAGTTGCGGAATTTGTTCCCAAAAACAAAACATGATAAAACAATGTTTACCGAAGCATTTCATAAAAGAAATGTATTTTCATTATAATCAAAACTCGGGGTGTCATGTTCCGATATAGACCAATAAGCATAAACGAATACATTACAAGTCATTCAACAAATATAAACATATGCAGACTTGTAAACAAAACAACTTGATGGTTCGTCCATCTCATGCCCTTCCGCCACTTCATGTAATACAAATAAAACTGAGTGGGTCAGGCTTGGGAGCCTGGTGAGCATATAGGGTTTTCAACCCACAATAAATAATTAAATTTATTATTATCAACCAACAATAACCCAGTTACCCATTCCCGTTATTCTCACTTTATGTCCCTAAAATAACTAACACAAGGGACCTAATCTAAGAATATTTTCATCGGGGTGACAACACATGCTGCGGGGTTTCCTCAGCAATATAAGTCAAATAAGGCAACCATGAGGGGGATGGAATACAACGAATGAACACCCAAGTTCATTAACACCTACAGGTTATGAGCATGCTAGCGTTCCACTAGACTGTCTAGAAAAGTCTGTGGTCGTCATCTAAATTCCGCTAGATGACTGGATCAAAACAACAACGAAGCCTCTCATCTGTTTATTACACACCAACTATCTACCCATGTTCTACCCAACATATTAGTAGATAAAAACATACATTTTTATACATATTTTCAAAACCTGTATAGCATGCTTGATCAATACATTTTCCATATAACAGATGAGGCGCACACACATAACACGTATTTCGTATAGAAATAATCAGATCTGTAAGATAGAAGAAAGTGAATATACATTCACACACATAACAACAAAATATACACATAACACGTATCTCGTATAAAATACTTCATAATTATACGTTGGAAGAAAGTAACAACGCATTCACACGTATAAACGGCAATAAACTTAATACACTCAAACCATACTTGTATTATTATTGCGTTTATGAAAGGTAGTATACACTCACTTGATCAGAAGATGATCGGACAGCACTACGACTTGCAGAAGTAGTAATCCTCCGCAGATCTGGAAGATCTCTACGAAAATCGAACTTCTCGCGGGCAGATATTCGGCTCGGAAACCGCACTTCTCAAGATCTTCGGGATCTCGGGACTCGCTTCGGGACTCGGGAATATTACCGGGGCTTCGGGATATTTCTGGTACGAAAAACGATGCAAAAACGCGAGAAAACGGGAAGAAATGAGCAACTGAATCGGCTGCACTCGACTTCCTTTTATAGGGGCTGGATCTGCGATTTACGCGGGGCGTACGCAACGTCATTGCATGCGTATGTGTTCGAGTGATGTCATTGCATGCGTAGCTGAGGCGGTTCACGAGTACGCTGGGCATACCCCAAATTACGCGGGGCGTACGCTATTAAGCAAACTTCAAACTTGCGTAACTTTTGCATACGAGCTCCGTTTTCGACGTTCTTTATATCCACGGAAAGGTGAGACTACGCTATACAACTTTCATTTAGACTCCGTCGGCTAATTTTGACTTTATTTTATTATTTATTTTTAATAGGCCGGGACAGAAACTTTCGTTATAAATTCATAACTTCTTCGTTTGACGTCCGTTCTCGCCTAACTTTTTATCGCTTTGATACTAACAACGAGATCTTCGATTCTCGTTTAGATCACTAAGGCTAAATATCGCTCTAACGTAAATTTCACTTTTTACGTTAATCAGCGGTGCCGGTTCTGTCGCGAAACTTCGACAGGTCATAACTTCCTCGTTATAACTCGGATTTCGGCATTCTTTATATCTTCGGAAACCTTGTTTCAACTACTACAATATTATCTAAAGATATCAAGTTTATTTTACACTTAAATTTTGACACTTATTTTTATTCTTAATTAATCAAACCGCATAATTAAGCAATTAAGCACAAAACACATAATACTCAAATAATACAATCTTATTATTTCAAAACGGGTTACAAAGGTTAACCTAGACCATTACATTGCTAAAAATGGCAAGCCCGGAAACACAGGCGTTACAATTGCCCATAGGACCACCGACTGCTAAGAGTCAAACAGACCCACCCTCAAAGATCGATATCCCTATCCTGAATCGAAAACTTATCCAACCAACTTTAAGGGAACAAGCAAAGTCGGCGTACCACTGGCTCAGAATTCTATAATACCATCCTTAAGGTCTATGAACACTACCTATAGGACATCAGGAACACAACCTTTATTAGGCCATTTGAGATCCTTGCTAGGATATGTCCAGAAGCCCATGGACTTCAGTTACCACAAAGACTCAGCATCGTGCAAACCACATTCCATGTATCCAACCCTAATAGGTAACTAACCGCCCAACCTCTTGTAGTCCCACTCGATTGGATCAAGGTAAACAAGAACCTTCACCCTGAAGAAGAACATGTGGGATCATGGGCAAGGAAACCAAAAGAGCAATGTCAAATACTAATAGTGAAGGTCTGCCGGAACACCAAGCAAGGGCCCAAATTCCTCTAGGAACGGAAAGACCATATGAAACAAAGGTACCCGCAACTTCTCCTAGTTGCAAGAGTCGTTGAAAAAGCTAATTTCTGGACAAAATTCCCTCTAACGGGGGGATGATGTGACAACCTGAAAGTTTTGGATCAAGCAAGGTCTAAATTGTAACCCTATTACAATAAAACCTTGAAAACCAAAAGGGCATGAGTGCATGTATAAGGCTATGTACAGTTTGGAAATCATGGATAAGATAAACTCTTGAAAAGTAAACAAGTTTATCAAGGCAAAACTAGACTAATAGATTGGAACAGG